CCCCCCCCCCCCCCATCCCGTTTCTTGTCAAATACTCGTATGTCATTTTAATGGGTGAATGTTAGGCTTGCGCCTGATCCTCTTTTCGGGCCGATTTGAACAGACTTTAATTCCTTGCTGGTTATTTTTCGACCAATGAAAAACCAACAATTTTGACAATCGAGTCAACTTTCAGGCGAACAGGCCATGACCATCCGTGTTCGAGCGTGTTTTTTTCTTTTTTTTGGGGGGGCGTGGGTCTGGTTTCGACTAGAGAGCACACACCACAGCAGCAGCATTTAAAGTGTATGGTGCGGTGCTCCGCCGAACTGGACGAGGACCACCCCTTCGCGGACCGTCGCCACGGAAATGGCCGACGACGCCGGTGAGGGTCAGGCCCAACCCACGGCTGCTGCACGTCCTCCTCCTTCTCCGTTGCGAGGGCGTTAACAAAGAGTGCCTCTCACGCACGCAGCTCCGAACGAGAGGCAACTACGAAAACGAGAGCATGACTGGAGAATTTTTTTGAAAGACAAGAGTGAGAAATCAAAGCATGGCAGCAAGTGGGTTGTTAAGAGCGTGATGGAGGAGGTGCTGTCGTCGTCTGAAGAGTCTGAGTCTGAGGCGTCAGAGAATCTGAGTTGTACGTCGGAGGAGGAGAGCGGCGATGACGCGGAGCCCCGATTTTTTTTGTTTCGAAGGAATCTTGGAGAAATCCATTTTTCAAGTTGACATCAAAAGGAAATCGCATTCCATCCCCCCCTTCCCCAACCTTGCCAAGGTTCAAGGGGCACTGCGTCGCGAGTGGAGTATCCACGACTCCTTTTGGCGCTGGGACGGTGGCAAAAGCTGCTCTGGCGGTCGCGGTAGAGGCTGTGCGCGTAGGACAAAAGTTGGTGTATGATGCGCGAAAAACGCTCCATCCCAAAAATTCAACAGCGGTGCTTTGACCATCAAGACCCGATCTTGGAAGAGGTGCTGTGCGGCGTCGGAGTGGTGGATTGTGGCGCGGTTTGTTCTGTGGCCTTCGCAGAAACCAGAGCTATGTTTATATCGATGTCGTTTCGCGCAATCACCACACACGCACGAGGCCGCTGCTGAAACCTCTGAAAAACACCGATAATGACTGGTTTTTAGAGTCTAGACTGGCTTTCTGGTGTCCATTCCAAAAACTGACCGACAATAACACGCATATCGTCTGTTCACAGGTCTCTGTCCAATATCAAGCGCCAGTTTGATTGTGGGAGCGAGTATTCCACGATACCAGGTCATCGTCCAATATCAAGTTAAAACGCGATCTGGCGCCGTCGGCAGGTAGTGCGGACCAAGATTCCTTTCGGAAAAACACACACACGAAAAAAACGAACAAGCGGCCCACGCGCATACACGATTTGGGGGGGTCAGGCGCAAGCCTTACAGTGCCGAGGTGCGCGAGCAGTGTAGCGCAGACGGGTTTGAACACATCCAAAACACACAAACCAACTCATTGCCTCGAAAGCCTGTTCGCCATTTTCGTCCGGCCGGAAGCAGAAGACCAATGAATTTTCGTTGGCCAATCCGTTCGCGCGGTCGATGCTAAAAAAAAAAATTCATACACTCCTTGAGATTGTGCGACGGCAAGACAGGAGTCGGCGTCTGTCTCTCTGCCTCGCGACAGACAAAACACAGCGAAACATCTCTCGCTCGACTAGAAACGCGACAGCATGTTGCACGAACCGCTCTCGTGAACGTATGGGCAATCTACTATGCGTAGGCGGGACAGGTCGCCATGCGGATTGAAACGCTCGAAACAGCACACTATACACCACAGGGCGGCGCATCGACACATGCTCAGGCAGCAACCTACTACGACCGCACCTTTGTCCTGAGCTGGATGCTGTACTGGCTGAAGGTCGCCTCCGCTCTTTCCACGTTACGGTTGCTGAAGTGTTCCAGCTCGCTCGCAGACGCCACCCAGTCCAACGACCTCCGGGCCAGGGCAAGGCTGACCTCACTTACCACCTCGGCGAGCCCGCTCCGGGACTCGGTATCTCCCCGAGAAGAGACGTCCTCCAGAACGCCTTCGTCGGGGGGGGGATGGGAAGTCAGTTAAACGAAGGGCGCGGCGGGGTGAAGGCTTGGAAAGGTGGGTGGGGGTACGTATGTATCGTCGTAATAATCGCGGTATGCGATGACATGTGACATCTCATCAAGCTGCTCGCACAGTCTCCAAACTTATGGTGTGCAGGAAGCGACACTGGTGCTTTTGGATCTTCGCCTTCAAGTAGCCAGTGACATACGACAAGAAGATGACTGGCTTGTTGAACGCGTTTCGAAATATGTACAGATAAGATACTTAACTCTTCTTTCTGCCGGAGGATACAGTCCAGAAATAGGGAAAAGACGCGCGTGTAACCGACGCATGACACGCCTGAACGCTAGCGTGAGAGATTGTCGTGTACCCTACACAGTCAACCCCCGGAACCCGGCGGTGGCCACATGGCACACCATGGCGCCGGTGCAGAGCCTGCAAAGGCGGCCGTCCTGCCTCATCTAAGGCTGCGACAAAGCCGACGCGTGGATCTGTATCGAAGCTTGGGCCGAAAAAAAAAAAAAAGCAACAGCAGTGTTCACAAAACCCTCAGGGTCAACGCTCTCCAGGTACACTGACCTAGGATGGAGTTTGAGCTTCTGTCGCGGCAGTTGATCGCCACCTGAAGCTTGAGCACGTCCACACCCTCTCCGAGACTGGACGGGGGGGAGTCATCCAGGTTTCCGAAGCTGGTTCCGCCTCCCTGGCGTCGCGGTCACCATCCCGGCGCGGCGAGACGAGGTTACGTTACAAGTTTGGGTTTGCTGAGGTGTGAACTTCGACCAAAATGTTCGTGGGTATGTGTAGTTTGGAAGTACGCGGCTTTTGGCCTAGAGGCGAGTACGAGACAAGGAGAATGACTTCATCGAAACCAGCGCGGAATGGCAGCAGCTTGACCCCTGGGTTATTACGCCTCGACCATGACATGATGCAGCTGCCGTGTTTGTGATACGAAGACGAAGCTTTGACCAGGGGATCAACAAGTGAATCATGGCATGGGATTTGATGTCCAATGCTGTGGTGCATGTGCTGTAGATCCTGTAGTTCAGCCTGTTGTTTGGAGTCAAGCGTCGAACGAGGGGAGGAAGTACGAAGAGGTCCATCGGAGTCGGTAGTCCCGCCAATCAACGAGCTCATGGTCAAGGGAGTCTCGCTACCATGCGATATCTCGCGCGTTGCAGCAAAACACACGTGCCGAGGCCGCTGCTGCAAACGGAATACTGCCACCAACCATGCATACAATGTGCGTTGTCAGCCAGAAAAGCATCGTTGTCATCGCCAAAAATATCAACCAGATAGTCTGACTGATCATTGATAGATCATTTGCAGAAGCTGGTGTGGTGGCAAAGCCGTGGAGTTGCCGCCCTGTAGGCCTCTACGCCGGGTGTGGGGAAGTCCATAGCTGTGTTCATTGTTTGCATCGACCGCGTCAACCGGCGGAGCACTGAAAAAACGTAGTGCCAGCGGGAAAGGTCTAGGGAAGCGAGCCAAACATCGAAACAAGCGCCATGTGCGAAATGCTAATGTCAAATTGATCTCTGTTGAATACTATTTCACAGCACCACACATACCCTCGCCCGAACCTAGGCAGCCACTGATAAAAAAAGCGGAGGGCTGCCAAAGGGGTATTTCAAGTCCAGCCGAAGCCAGGATATCGTGGTATGCTGCATCAATCTGTTGGAGATAATCGTCCATTCCCAAGGTCCAGCAGCCATCGTGTCAGCAGCTACACTTCAGTGAAAATGAGTCAAACGAAATAGCATAGACTGCATGAACATGTACATCATGGCTCCACGCCTGCCTTCCCCCAAACCTACGTAAAAAGCGGCTAGGTACGTGTGTGCTGGTGTGGTGCTTGTGTGATCAAATACCAGCTATGGGCCTACAAGCCTTCTGACTGACTATTTACACTGATCCTTTGGACATAACTGAAATAGAGTAGTTGAGGCAGCTAGACGACTGAAAATTTCAAGGTCTACAAGGCTACATGTACCGTCCGCAGCGCGACCGCCCATCAATCCTTCAATAGTTCTGTCTGTGGCCACTACCTTGTCGCGGGCAGCCCGCTAGGCCGGAGACAGCAGTCGTTGCGGCTACACAAGTACGCTTTGTCTCTTTTGCTGCACTTCTGTGTCTTTTTTCTTTTGCGCTGGAAGCAAAAACAAAAGATGACGTCGAAACGGAACCAAGGTCTAAATAGGGGTAACGGGCTGAACAACAACACCAGGTGCGTCTCCACTCCTTTCAGTCTGACCACAGCACATCATCGCTGATACTCAACAGCCATACGAATACAGAAGCATTCCGTACCTTAACCAGCTGTGAAACGCCGTAGGCAACGCCGCCCAGCACGAGGAGGTCAACGGGGTTCACGCCAAAACCGCCTCCGTAAAAAGAAACCCCCGGTCGGCCGAAGGGAGAAAAGCCGAAAGGTGAAAAGCCGAAGGGTGATCCGACACCGTAACCCATCCCATACCCTCCCAGCGGAACCGGTACGGGAACGACCGTGGTGCTGCCTCCCCCGTAGGACGGCGCGTAAGATCTAGACGGCGCCGATGGCGCGGAATAAGATCGCTGCAAGCAAGGACGGGGTAGCGAGGGAAGGGTGTGGGGTACAGGAGGTGGAGGCTGAGGCGGAGAGGACGCGCGGTTTGTCGTAACATTTCGTGTTTGGCGAAACACACGCTCGAACGGTATGGGTGGTGTTGTTCCCAGATGGAGTTCTCGAGAGGTGTGGATGGTCAACAGTGGCAGCAGCAGCGCATATTTTCACGGGGTTGGTGATAGTGAGTACCTATAATAGACCCCGAAAGGCGAGACGACACAGCAGTTTGCTAGAAAACAAGAATTGCTAGAAAAAAGCAGGGGTAGCTCTGTTGGACAAATAAGCGAGGGCGAGGACCGCTGCGAATGGCGGAGGCATGAACGCTATGGATTCGTTTTTTTTTTTTATAAATGCCGGCGGGAGCTTCCAAGTGGCGCAACCCCATGCTGCGACTTAGTTTGAACTTGTACAGCCAATCTATCTAGAAAACACCAAGTAGGCGGCGGGCAAGGTTTGCGTCCAGGCGTAGACTTCAACAGTGCTGGACGATGGAATGCGGATGCTCAAGACAGATCGCACACGCGGGCACGGACGATTACAAGTGCTCAGCTGTTTTCGATACATTCACAAATTAACCCAAAACACCCGTGGTCGGGTGGTGCCACACGGCGGCCTCTCTGGATGCGAACGGCAAAGAAACCCCCGAAACTTCGACATACCAAGAACGTGGGCGCGAGGCGGCGAAGACACTTGTCACTGCACTGCTGTTTTATTCCCAACGCGCACCCCTTTGGCATGAGTAGGGCTGGATGGGTGGCGTGTCTCCACGCTGCTGACGGGGCAACCACGTCAGACATGTGACGAAGCGGCGCAACCCATCGACGGTAGGCAATACACGTGTACAAGACAAACGCTGTATGTACAGCAGGGAAAACAAAATAGTGTTCTCCGTCAAAGCCAACTATTGTTCGAGAAGATTGCAACCGTATCCTTCCCAACAAAAACGAGTGTCTACGTCGCGGTACAAAGCTGCTTGAGTTCCACAATGTGTCCCACGGCTGCAGCCTTTGCTAGTCAAGCTGGACAGGAGCTCATTGGCCCCTGATAGAAAGTACACTTTTTGCAAGTTGAAACAAAGCAAGGCATGACGAAGGTATTGTTTCTAGAATGTTGTACAGCATTTCCAAGGAGCGGACGATACCTTACATGTAACCGCACGTTCGCTTGTCATTAACTGCGACGCGAGGAGACGCCAGGGGTCATGCGTGTGCCAAACCTACACCTCTGTACATAGCATACTAGTGTTAGCCGTGCCCAGCACGAACAACTAGTTCATCATGCTGCAGCCTGCGAGCCAGGCACGCAGCGGAAAGGAGGGTTTGGAGATTCTGTAGACTGCTGTACAGCTGCCAAGTAGGCTCCAACAGCAGCACGAGGAGCAGGGTGTTCAGAAAACAGACCCTGCTTTTCAGCCTATCACACAGCCATGGCACGCAAACCAACTTACCGATGGAGACGAGAACGACCTCCCTCCCATTCTCCCGCCAGACCTCGCCGCAAGAGCATCCCCCGGGTTAGAGAACGCGACGGCCGCGACGGTAGCTGCGACGGCAACCTTCTTGGCCACGTCCGTGGTGAAGGCCTTCCACGGGGCTTCTCCTGCCATGCTTAAAGGCAGCGAGCTGGTTGCTGCCGACGCAGTACGTGAGGCGACGAGGCGGGCAGGCTGCCCTACACGCAGCGTCTTCGACGAAGCAACAAAGGCCTCGACATCAGGAGGAGTTGAAGCGAGCGCAGCTGTTGCCGCCAGCCAAGTTGCTGCAACCTTCATGATAATGATCAACACGCGTGAAGGATTGGTTCTCTCTGTTTTGCACCTGAGACGGCGTGTGTGCAGGGGGCTGTCGATGAACAAATCTGTGTGCGTTGGTCTGTTGAGTGTGACAGGTGGAGGGCTGTCCCACCGGGGTGTATGCTCCCTCACCTTTCTTAGAGATGTGTGTCAGAGCCGGAGGGGGGGGCTATTAGGAGCTTAACCCCGGAAAGGCTAATGCTTCCCGAACCAGAAAGTCACTCTTCCAGCAGGAAGAGCGAGAAGAGAAGGAAAGGGCGTTGTCCCGTGCCCCACAGGTACAGCTCACATCACCACCCCAACTGACTCGGCATCTACAGGAGGAGAGAGACCCAAGGCACCAAGGAGGCATTGAAAGACGCCCAGCAACGCAACATCGTATTCGAAGTAGTTCCTGGCACATGCGACATGCGTTTGTGATTTCTTTTCTTTATAATTCTGTCGCTGCTGCACTCTGCGGTTCGACCGAACTCCTGTACTCACTTGCTGGAACCAACCACCGCTTCGAACTTTGTCAACGCACTAGTAACCGGACACTCAAGCTCGCCTTCTACTCCTTGCCCTGGTAGACTCCCTCTTCTGATTTCATTTATGAGCGGCAGCGCTGCTGCCGCTGCTGCACAACATCCGTCACGTACGTCCACAGAAATATATGCCAATTCCGCCGCAAAGGGGGGACCGAACCCAAACATCCCCTGAAGCGAGCCTACCTCGTACCACATTCCCCCACACTGCTTTTTGACATGGTGGAAAATTTTTACCATGTCCAAAAGTAATGCACAACGTCATGATTTCCTCTGAGAATTTGGCATGAAGTACCATTTTCCACACTGAAACTGGTATATTCTCGCTCGCGGCCGCTCTTATCTGGCGACAAACTTTATAACACATATCCTTCTTGAAAATGGCACAACAATAGTATACTTCAAAAGCCATGGAATTCGATCTATCTTCAGCAGGGACTCGATTTTAAACTCCACGACATCAAGCCTTCGTCAACCCTTCAGGCCCGAGGAACCTCACACAAACCACCACACACAAATCCCAAGAGAATTTTTCATCCTACCATCTGCCGTCAAGAAACCCACTTTGCCCCGTCGCGCTGCTTTCAAGGAGTGATGCCGTGGGCGGTGGCTTGCTCCTAGAGATAGATGAAGGTTCTGTCGTTGACATGCTTGTCCACGACCACGTTGAGATGGGAAAGTTGCTTGTTATTGGTGAGGGACGATCAGCAAAGGTCTGGGATGAAGTGGGGATCCAGCTTCATCTCAGGGGGTACACAGAGTAGATAATTCTAAGGGGG